ATTAAAATGAACACTGATATATATATATATATATATATATATATGTATGTATGTATGTATATATATATATATATATATATATATAAAGTGTGCTTTTAAAAGGCCTGTTAAATTTTGGGCCTTATACTCCTGTGTGAAGGTCCAATAGTCTATTAATGAATCTAGCCCAGTTATTTGACCTAGTCCACTAGTCTAAATGATAGAGAGATAGGAAGAGGCAGTGGAGGTCGCAGATCTAGAAGCCGCACGACAAATATTCAGCGATAAAGATAAGTCTTCTCTCCCTCTCCTCCGTCTTCTCTCTATCTCCTCCTCCGTCTTCTCTCCCTCTCCTCCTCCGTTCCATTGCGCTTCTAAAATGGAGACGCGTCTCAGAGATGGTGACATAGTCACTGTACAACACAGTCGCCCAGGGAAAAAAAGCTAGGCGACCAATTAGGCGTCCACCAACCCTCGCCCAGACGCCTAAGCGTCGCCTAGGCGACGCCTTGATAACTATGATGTGGATTTGGAATTGATAGTGCAAAAAATGAAGTGAAATTGGTGAATTGAATTCTATGGAATTTCAATTTCAATTCAATTCCAATTTCATCAATTCCGTATACCAAACGGACCCTAAACAAAAATTTGTGTTAAGAGATGCCGACAAACCTTGACAACAACATCTCCTGTCAGAGTTGGAACTTGTGTTGTTCCTCCCAAAATGGCCTGAAAAAGCAAGGTTTCATAAAATCAAGTTAACGCAAAAAACTTGCCTCTGAATAAATGCAACTTCTAAAGAGTTCACAACCTCGCCTCTTATCGTTAACACAGCCAAAAAAGTACTCCGTAATGGTCAAACTCCATTTAAATGGAATTTGAAGCCATAAGGAACCTTAAAATCACTTAAGAGATTAAGGTGTTGTGATGTTCAACTTTTTCTTTTTGCTCATCACTTTTATTTTAGAGTGAATTCCCAAAATGGTCCTTTATATTAGGGTGTTTTCCCAAATCAGTCTTCAAATCTCAATTAAAATATCACCCCAACTGCCGGAGGACTATCGTGAGAAAAAAACCCCAATTATAAAGTATTGTTTACTGAGGACTATTGAGGGAAAATATCTAAATTATTGGTTATTGAGCACAGATTTGAGAAAATGCCTTATTAGAAAGGACCATTTTGGGAACTCGTTATTTTAATCAACCAAAAATATTCAGATCAAAGAACTAGCCAGATTAGGTGTTATATTTGAAATAAGAAATTTAATTAAGATCATAACATTGAGAACAAATGAGGCCAGAAACTTTCAAACAAGAACATATCCAAAGGTTTAAGATCACAAATTTTCAGGCAAAGAGAACATGTCCTAAAGCTTACTGATCTTAAATAAATCATTTATGATGTAGGTGCTTCTGAAGTTCCGTTCTCTAATATTTTTCTTTTCAATTTAACTTGCACCATGTTGTATGGTACTACAGATGAATTCTATATAATGAGAGAGATACAAAGAGAGAGAAAGTACCTGAGTGATAGTCAGAGGAGCATCAACGTGTATGTCAGACCTTTCTCTGCGGAACACAGGATCTTCCCTAACCTGAATCATGTCAGTAATTAGTCTTTGTTAAACACATGACCTGCATCAAACTAGAAATGATATAATTTCCAAGATAAAGACAGATAACTAATTAAAACCTTTAAAGTAACATAAAGATCACCCGCTTGATTTCCTTCGGGATCCGCACCACCACTTCTATATACTTTCAGAATCTCATCATTGTCCACTCCTGCAGATAAATGATTAAATAATAACAAAATCCATCAAGCACAAATATGTTTCCAATAACGAAGTAAAGACATCATAGCTTCAAATTCTAAAAAGGGCCATTTTATGGAAATGTTTTAGCTTTGGGTATTGTTAGAGTAGATCAAAATGTCACGTTAAACTCCTCATGCTCCTTACTTCCAATGAAGTTTTGAGCAGTGCATCATCAGTGTAACAGAAAGAACCTCTATTTTTTAGAGGGGTAAGCACATGTACATCTTGACCCCCTCCCCCCAAGGCCCCAATGGTTTTGGGATTATCCTGGGTTTGTTGTTGTATGGGAATAAAGACACTAGACTCAAAGTCTTCACATCATTTTTCTGACCAATACACATCAAAACATGCACTTGTGAATGTTTAGGTTGAATTGCATCCGAACACTTATATTTCCATTTAAACTTCAGACAATCAAAATTATACCATTGATAACCACATTGGCCATTACTTCCTCTGTCCCATTCAGTACACTTTTTCATAAAAGTGTAAAACATGATGAAAACTAATTTCTTTTATTAAAAACTGAGGCTTTTTTGGAAAAAACAAGTTGAGAAGCATGCCTTTTTTATGGGAGGGAGTGAGTATTAAAATTGAAGTACTTCACTAGTTTCTATTAATTTATGTAGAGGGTCTCGTGAAGATAAACTCCTGTCAAATTCTAAAAACAAGATCAACAACAACAAATCCAGGATAACCCCAAGTCTCAACCCCATTGGGGTCTAGGGGTTCATATACTGATTACTGAGAGCAAGATCACTTAGCATAAACGAGATCTGTTTTCAACATTACAAGTTACCTGGCATAATATCCAACTTCACAGTTTTTGTTCCTCTTACTACGCGGTTTCCCTTACATGTCTTGCAGAAACTCTACAGACCAGTGTTAAAAGTCAGTAGACATGTCAATTAAATTGTTCCCATTTAACTTAAGTGAGAAATCATAATTTGAAAATACTCGTTGCATTAGCAACACAAATCTGTAAATGTTTGCTTTGATGCTATAGTTAAACTAAACCAACAACAACAACAACCTAGGTGAATCCCACAACAGTAGGGTCCGGGGAGGGTGTGTGTACGCAGACCTTGCCCCTACTCGGAAGTAGGGAGGCTGTTTCCAAGAGACCCTCGCCTCCACCTGCACAAAAATATGGAAGGGAACACAGTATAACACAGATAAAGTACCAAGTACAAGCAACACGTACAAGCAATAGCAGAAGATTCCTAACAAATACAACACACCACAAAACAACCTCTACAACACCGAGCTCCTATCCAGCTACTCTAATCCTAGTTTTCCAAAGGTTCCTATCTAGGGCTATATCCTCAGTCAGGTCGAGAAGTCCTAAATCCTGCCTAATCACCTCCTTCCAATTCTTCATAGGTCTACCCCTTCCCCTACTTCCCCCGATAACCGTAATCCTCTCGCATCTCCGTACAGGGGCGCTAGCATCCCGCCGTCTCACATGGCCAAACCATCTCAACCTTGCTTCCCGCAACTTATCTTCCACTGGTGCCATGCCTACCTGACGTCGGATAACTTCGTTCGAAATCCTATCCAACCTTGTCTTCCCACACATCCATCGTAACATCCGCATCTCCGCCGCATGCAGACGACGCACATGAGACTTTTTAAGTTGCAAACAGTGGGAAGTGGAAACAAAGTATTTGGAGACTTTTTCTGGATTATTAATTTTTTGTCAGGATATGGGTGTGTTAAAAGCCATATGGATTTTTTGAGGCAAAATTAATGATGATGCATCAACAAAGTAAATTAGAAAAAATAATGTAAATATCATGTACTAGGATGGATGGCTGATAGACTAAGAAGAGGTGTGAGAGAAGACAGCAGTAGGAAGGAAAAAGATTAGAGATGTTGATCACCGGTCATTTAAAAATTAATCATTGGCCGATAAAATAATAAACTACTTCTCATTTGAAGGGCTAATCATTATGATCATACCGATACAATTTTTCCAGATCCCCTGCATTGTGGACAGGTAGACTGAACTGTGAAAGGACCAGTTTGCTGGAACACCTGGAATTAGCACAAAGTAGTGGTGTTGGTCTTAAAATATAAGCAAAACAAAATAACAATTAAAAAACAAGCACACACGCTCACCATGCCAGAGCCTTTGCAGCGTTTACATGTTTCAGGCCTTGTCCCTGGGGGAACACCACTTCCACCTAAAACATGAAAACCCAGAATTCAGCAGATTTCCTTACCGCATACAATGCATGCAGAGTAGATATTAGATATAATAGGTTTTGGCGACAGCGCAACTTGAATTTGACCGTGAGGTCAGGGTTGCAACAGATTTAGGCCTTTACCCCTGCACCAGGGGCCCCCCTTCACTGCATGCAGAGTAACTGGACTGCCTTAATATGCAATCCAGAGGAATAACTTTCCTTTTCCTTTTTCAATAATGTTTCAAGCTTGGTTGGATTTATCTTCTTGAAATGTGAAGTGAATTATCAACTATCTACAGTTTTAGGTTTACCTATATCAAGAATAATTACAGATTACAGAATCACTGGATGAAATAAGACAAAACAAGGAGATTATCAACTATCTACAGTTTTAGGTTTACCTAATTAAAAAATAATTACAGACTACAGAATCACTGGATGAAATAAGGCAAAAATTCTAAGCAGATTATCAAAGAAAGTATGCACTAATACTCTATTAAGAAAAGTTCAAATCTTCTTGGAAGTGAAATCAAAATATACATTTGTTAAGACTTAATAATGTGTAAATGAATCATTAAGATACACAAACATTTCCTAATTTATGTAACAAGATTGCACTCATCATTGGTAAGAAGGATGCTATATACCACAAGCACTACAAAGCAAATCAGTTTGGAATGCCACAGTTTTGTTGCACCCTTGAACAGCTTCCATGAAAGAGAGTTCAACAGAGACCTGCAGATGTGATTTTTAGGAATGGGTCATGCTCATGAATAAATAGGAATTTTTGTAAGGATACAATACAATATATGATTGCTTGACATTTGCCATTGATAAGAAAGTATGCATAAGAGAAGGAAAAACCTTGACGTCTTCCCCGCCCATCTTCTGTCTAAACATGTTAAAGATCTGGTCTCCATCACAGAAGTAACCAATACATGGGCATTGGACAAGAACAAAATTAGAAGTGAGATCTGAAAGCTTATGTGAATGTAATGTACATATATGCATATGAAGAATAAATGATGTGGTTGTAAATAGGATAGACGTTGAAGAGACGCAGATCCTTCTGAATAGTGCTGAGCAAGTAAAACTCATACAGTTGTATGAGATAGAAAAAAATAAATCAAAATTGCACAAAATAATAACAATAAAGAAATCTGAAAATATATTACAAGCATTCAGTTTTAAAGACATTGTAAAATTTTCAATCCATACCCTTGTCTAGCCTAGATGGACTTGAGACTCAACTAAATGTGTTTGCCTAATTAGTGTCCTTATCTTAAATTCTATTGGGGGATGCAAAAAAAGGATAAACACTAAAAAGGAATCTACTATCTAGTTTCTATACTATAAATATCTATAAACAAGGATCTCGTAGCCCACGGCCCATCCTTATTAAATCAAAATAAATGTTGGGATGAAATGCCCTACTCTCCTTTTTGAGAACATATAAAAGAAGGGGATAGGAATTCTTCAAGCTATCCATCTCCTATCAGATTCTCAGGATATAGATACAATATGCTTTGAGTCCTTGTCATCCTTGCTTATAGATGAGAACATGGCTAGTTAGCTAGTCATCTATTTTTCACAATTCCATGTTCCCATCAGTATTCGAATTCCTGCCTTCGTATCCAAACCATCAATGCAGAAATAGAAATTCACTTAGACAAATAATAAAACAACGATGATCTCTAAAAAAAATTAAAACAAATGTAGGACATTCGTACTTTTGAACACATTTGCATGACAACATCGACAAACAATAGCTTAAAAGGAAGAAACTCAAGCTCTTACATCAGAATTGTTAAAAATATCCTCAAAACCTGGAAACCCAGAGAAACCGGCCCCAGCACCTCCACCCTCTTCTGCACGATTAAAAGCATCATGACCGACCTGTACAATGTTACATAAACATGTCAACAGTATGTAAAATTAACATTTCATCAGTTCTAACTTCTTTTAGCTGAAGCATTACTTCAAATCATAGTTCTTGTTTATTTGAGAAAATATTATCACTGGTTTTTTTGCATGAATGAATGGTGTTAACTAATTTTTGAAAACTAATAGGACGTAATATTTCATGCCACCAACCCCAGCTACATGGATAAGGGTGCTGGTGATGAGTACACAAGAATGTCTGAATTGTTGTACTATTAAATATCCATGCTTTTACAGGTCAGATCTGAGACCCCTTACCTGCAACCCCTCTCACTAGAAGTATATAATGTAAAGACTAAAGAGTACTTCGGCAAAACATAAAATATTTATGCACTTATGCAAAACCTGATCATAAGTCTGGCGTTTTTCATCGTCTTTCAGAACCTGCAAAAAAAAAGATGAAAAAAAGTATTTAACGGAAATTCCTGAAAAAAACCAGGAAGGACTGCATAAATAATAAAAAAACTTGAAATGTAACAGTACCTCATAAGCCCTTTGAACTTCTTGAAATTTCTTTGCAGCTTCAGGGTCATCTTTATTCACGTCTGGATGCAACTGTTTTGCTAACTGAAACCATCCATGAGCAAAGATTTACATTAGAGTAGTATTGATTTGAAAGGAAAGTGAAGAGTGGAAAATGAAAGGAAAACTTCTTCTCCACTAAACTGATGTTCCATTAAAATAATCTTCAAAATGATAACTTTTTTCAATTTCATACCACTTTCTTCTGGAACAAGTCAATTTTCCACTCTATTTTATCTCAATTACCTTATGTTCATTCCTCGCATTTTATTTCCCTTTTCTTCCATACAACCGACTAGACCCTAAGAGTGATGTTGCATGAACTTTGATCATGTAGCCTTGAATTAAAATTTGAAAGTAGCAACGTGTGTATCACTCATTCACTCCAATACTTTTACCTCTCAAGTGGAAAAGAATAATAACCAAAAGAGGAGACGAAAGCATACCCCTAGATACGCTTTCTTGATTTCAGATGCAGTTGCATTCTTGCTTACACCAAGCAAATCATAGAAATCTCTGCTTGACATTCGTGCTGGAAAAAAGGAGGGGGTAATGTCAATTCACCTGGATAGTGGATATCAAAAAACAAATGTAGTAGATGACAAAGCATAAATTTTAAAAGGGTCATCGTATTTGGGTAGGGAGGTAGGGACTCCATTCACTACAACAGATGTAATATGTAGGTGGATCCATGGTAGTTAATATCTAACAATTCATGCATAATGAATCTTGATACGATATAAAAAGTAACCCTAGCAATACGGGTCGTGGAATGAATCTAAAATGTGCTGCAATCAAAATTATATCACATTAGTGACTTACGGTTTAGGATACGAATCTAGATACGATACACAAATTTAAAAGTTTGATAGTTTGAAGGATATCCTTAATTATATTCGTTAAATTTATTCCCGTTTATAGGTCCAAGAAACAGAATTGCAAGGAATGTTAGGAGAATATCAAGCACACCAAGTTATGATAGTGATGGAGAAGAGATGATTGAAAATGAAGAAAATGAAGAGCTTGAAAAAGTAAGGAGGAGCAAGAAATAATAGAGGAAGAGGATGAACTCCATGATTTTGATCTTGGAGATAATGAGCTCGAACAGGACGCATAGAACTCTAGGGGGTAAACCAGTGAAGTCAAACTAAGAGTATGCCTTTTAGGCATACCGGCAATACCCTATAAGATCTTGTTGTTTTGATGAACGCTAGTGCTTCAGATCATTTTTAAATGGTGTGAACTAACTCTGAAAACGTTAAGCTTGTGTTTGGATGAGGTGAAAATAGAAGGAAAGAAAAGTTTTGAGAGGAAAACACAATTCCCAAAAAATTTTCTTGTGTTTGTTTGGAGGAGAAAATGGGGAGAGAATGGAAAAGGAGAGGTGAAAAGTTTTCTCCCCTCTAGGGATGAGAAAATTGGCCAAAGGGAGAGAAAAGTTTGGAAATGACATTTTTACCTTCCACTATATTCACTTTTCATATAGAATAAGGGTAAAGTTATCTTTTTATTTTAATACATTTTCTTTCCTCCTACCTTTTCTCTCTATTTTCTATCTATCCAAACAACATTTATTTTCTTCTCATTTTCTCTTCATTTTCTTTCTTCTCTATTTTCTTTCCATCCATTTTCTTTCCACACATTTTCTCTTTTTATCCAAACAATGTGTAACACTAAGAGTTATCCTTCAAAGTATCTTAACTTAACTCTAAGTCATTGTTTGGATAAAGAGAGAAAATGAGTGAAAAGAAAATGGATGGAAAGAAAATAGAGAGGAAAGAAAATGAAGAGAAAATATTTATTGTTTGGATGGGTAGAAAGTGAAAGGAAAATGAGAAGAAGAAAGAAAATGTAATAAAACAAAAAGACACATTTACCCTTACTCTAGAATACTAAAATTATAAATAGAGAGGGTAAGATAGTAATTTTGCTTGTTTTCCTTCCCAACCTACGATTTTCTTCTCCCATGTGGAGAGAAAACTTTAAGGCTGACTTTTCTCTCCTTTTTCTCTTCTCCTCACCAATTCTCTTCTAACCAAACAAAATAAAACACCTTGACATTTGTGTTTTCTCTCCATTCATTTTCTTTCCTCCCAATTTCTCCTCAACCAAACAGCCTATAAAGCTAATGCAAATGGAGCAAAAGTAAATGTCCAAGCTCTATAGCTTTTAAGAACTTTAATAAAATCATGATAAAAGCCTGATGATTAACCCTCCTCTAAACCTCGCGCCAAAGCCTTGATACACCTCATCCATCTAGGGGGTAAGCCTCAAAATACGAATTAGAGTTTTAAACCCGCCACCTCAAATGCAATTGAACACTATATTCGTAATACGATATGATTTGTGGTTCAAAAAATGGGCCTTGCGATTAATGAATTGAATCTTAATTTGAAACCTTTAGTGGATCCATAATCTTTACGGTAAATGGTTGTTAAATCTAATCCACTTGGACACATGGAGGGCACATTATGCTTGGGGACTCATGTTCATGAGCGACTTTAGGGCAATGGCACATGCAAATAAAACGCTGTGAATTTGAGCTTGAATTTCTACATTGGATCCAATTTATCAAGCTTGGTCAATAAATTCATTTTGGGCTTGATAACAACTTGAATGATGATGCAATAAACGGGTGGGTGCAAACTTATGAGGGAAGGATACGAACAGCACGAATAATAAAAACTCAGAAACTACTGAGAGCATAGTAATGTTTCCATTGTAATGGCCATTTTTTAAGAATCAAATCTCTAGGAATTTGTATATGGCATAGGTATCATATGTGTCAATTTCATGCAAGGATCATTCCACCGATCTGGATGCATGTAAGCTCCAGGAAAGTGATGTTTCCATAATTTGGAAAAGTTCAAGAAAATATAAAAGACTTTTTGGATAACTATATCCATTCCAGAATAATGTTCTCCCATATGGTGTTTCCCATTCTCGTATTTCATATTTGTGTGCCCGCGCAAAAAAGCCATCAATAATGCTTCAAAATTGAGAGGGTGAGCATCAAATTGCATGGCTAAGAAGTTCCTTGAAGCATGTGCTCCTATAGTCAATGAAGTGCTGATAGCAAGACCTTAACTACAATCATATAAAGGTGGCATAATAGAACGGTCGTTGACCTTTTGGTGAGGCAACTAGCAGGCTTTAAAACGATAACATTTAGAACACATCCAAATGAGACAAAGTTGTTCTCTAGTTGGAAAGTGTAGATTCCGCAGTTTTTATGGAAAACTAAATACATACTGTGCATTTGTTAGGTTCTAAGATAGACGATAGTGCCAATTTAAATTAAGAAATGATAAAATTTGGGGAAATGAAAGCATGGAATTATAATTGGGTAGGTGGCTGTAAGCATTAAGAATCCCTGTGTTCAACATCATGAATCCATCATCATTATCAGCGCCGCAATCCCAACTAGTTGGTGGCATCAATTGTGCCAATTAATTGTATAAATTAAATAATACTGTCAATTTAGGCAAAAAGAGATGGCAATATTTTACTTTGGATAACCTTTCGGTCGCACTATTCATAAGAACACAAAATGAGATTTTAAAAAATTACAATGCTAATCATTGTCAAACATTATTTCCATGTCAAGCTTCTAAAAGGACATCAGTAAGATGAAACTACCATCAATTTAAAATCCACATATAAGCAGATACGGAGTTATTAATACACGTTGTGCCAAAAGCGTGTGAATAGTACTTTGTTCTTTAGTATTACAAACTTTCAGTCATCTAGTGTAAAGCCAATGGCTTTGTGTTCTAATGGACTATTAATTAATTAAAACAAGCTTAAAATTTCATCTTTTTCAGGTTTACAAGGTACAATGTCTTTTGTTATGTTGTCAAAAAAATGTTTTTTGTTATACTTTCTCATTAATCTTTAGTTCTTTAAACTTAATTTGGGTGTCACCGTGTCACAAATTAAAGTGTTCCTGGTACACTTCCTTACTTTCCTATTAACGAAAAGAATAAGTGGCTCACAATAAGATATAAACTACATTTTTCAACATGTTTCCCAACTACTTCATTATAAAATTTATCTAGGGATGAAGTACAGCCTAAAGCAAAACCACCCAGTTTAGCTCACGCTTCTCTTATTTTCTGATAATATAATTCTAATATTATAACTTCATGCATACATTAAAAATTTTCAAAAATATTATCTCAAACGTCAACAATGAGATATAAACTAGTCATATATGGAGAGAGACCTGTGGCATGAATTGATCTTTTCTGGCCGAAATTTGCTTTTGATGACCAAACACTTTCATTGGCTCCTGTCCCACAAAAACAAAACAGAAACACACTTATAAGTAGAACCAGAGTGGTTTAATCCACGCCATTGTAATATCAGAAGGAAACAAAAAGTGTGAATTCAAAGACACGCTTGGCTTGCCATTACTGAAACACGACTGGAGTAAAGGCCTGGACTTGCTGCAAATCCCGGCACTATACTGTCTGCATCCAGAGCCGTATATCGATTCAAATACCTGTAAATCAAAAGGCCATATTGCTTCGTATGCATAGATTGGGCGTTTATTGCGGCGTACATGGCTGCAAAATGTAATGATGGGGAGCTTACAGAAAAGGAATCGCGGAGGAGATGGGAGGAGAGGGCGGCGCGGGCCAGCCGGACGGCGTTTGAGCGGGCCATTCCGTCGGAGCGTCGGATCAGTTAAACCCCTAGAAAAACCCTAGTTTGTTGAAACACTGAGAAGAGTAAGGGTTTAAGGCTTAACTCCTGCTGTAAATCCCAATGCCCATTTGCAACCCGGAACCAATTCGGGTAGCTTTTCGGGCATGACATGATTTCCGGATTATACTTTTTCTTTTGCTTACAAAAAAAGCAACTTCTATTTCTACATTAAACTAGTATTACATCCGTGCGTTGCACGTGTCATTTTTATGTTATTAAATTCAAGTTATTTTTAACTTTTAATCACAAAACTTGATTACATACATTCCCATTTAATTTAAAATCTAATCATTTAAATGATTTCTAATTTTCAAACACTACCTAAAAGATTTGGTTGTGCGGTCTCCCCAATTATTCAAATGCAATGATTCAAATTATATGTTTGAAAATCTAAAAAAATTTGGAAGAGCCAAACTTCACTAGTTATCAACAAAACACGATTACATGCATTCTTCTTTAATATAAAACTAGTGTTAACCCCGTGCTTCGCACGAGCTCGCATACATTCTACATTATAAATATATTTTTTATTCTATTTTCTAATAGTGACAACATATGTTTTAAATTGGTGGAATATATATTGGTATGTTAATTTTAAAATTTTTTTATACAAAATTAATAGTCATTGAATGAAATATTAATGAAAATAGCTTTAATTAATAAAATGTTATAATAAAAAAATAGACTAATGAAATAATTATACATCATTAGAGATGTGGTATAATGTCACTTGTCATTCTTCAATTAAACCAACTTTATTTTATTGAAAAATATACGTAGTAATTAATAAATAATGTTAAAAGATAAAAGTTTTGAAGCAAAGTATTTGATTCATAAATATGAATATGTGATTAAATTTATATAATCATTTTTTGAGAAGGTAATAAAATAAAATAAATAGTGATTAGTATAAAAATAATTCTATATGTGTGTGTGTGTATTTGTTTAAGATACAGAGTATATTTTACAATGATGAAATGCATGTTTAGAAAAATGTTAAAAAATGAAAAAGCTTTTTAAAAAACTAATTGGACTAATGAAATGCATCCACCTCATTCATAGGAGCACATGTGGATGCATATGTGGCATGCCACATGTTAACACTACAAGAAATAAACTCAACTTTACATATATATATATATATATATATATATATATATATATATATATATATATATATATATATATATATATATATATATATATGTAAAGTTGAGTTTATTTCTTGTAGTGTTAACATGTGGCATGCCACATATGCATCCACATGTGCTCCTATGAATGAGGTGGATGCATTTCATTAGTCCAATTAGTTTTTTAAAAAGCTTTTTCATTTTTTAACATTTTTCTAAACATGCATTTCATCATTGTAANTATATATATATATATATATATATATATATATATATATATATATATATATATATATATATATATATATATATATATATATAGGATATGTTAGAGTCACAACTCACAAAGAAAGAGTTCACAAAAAGTGACAAATTTACGATATTAATATCTCACTAGGAACAATTTTAATATAAAACTCACAAAAGCCAAGTTTGTGAATTGTGCATTTTTTGTGATTGTAATCTAAACTTATTTGAAAAAGAGAGCATGTAATGTTACATCACTCCAAGTAGTGTAACATCGTGACACTAATGATTTTAGGATATCTACGGTGCTCTATTCGTAAAATTGATGGTTCATACTTCATACCCTCTAATCTCCCCTAAACCATCCGACCCATCAATTCCACCCTGCCCCGACCCCCCAGATCCCCGATTTGGAGTGGGTTGGGGTGAAATTGATGGAGGTGGAGGGCTAGGTGTAGGAATTATCAATTTTACGAACAAAATACTGTAGATGTCCCAAATCTACTGGTGTCACGTTTTGGTGTCATTTTTATTGGTGTAAGATTACAAGTTCCCTTTCAAAGAATTGGTGGAAGGTAATTGTAAGACATACAAAGACATGAAAGATAGCCAGGCAACCCCACATTGTGACCTTTTGAATTCTCACATACGCTTTGGATTTGGGATCTCTTCTTGTACACTGCAGTATTGCTGTGTTCTCAATAATAGAATAATGCACATAGGCCATGTTCTTTTTTCTGTTGTGTTTTAATTTCCCCTTTAACCTTAATAGAGTACTCCGTACATCCTTCATTTGTTCAATGTTAATCTCATATGCACCCATATGAACTTTTTCATATAAATTAATTTTTAAAAAATAAAAAACACTTAAAGAAGTTTTAAATACTTAGTAAATGTTTATCAATCAAATACTACTAAGAAGAATCTGCCTTAAAAAACTATTTTTTTTGTTCATAAAAAAAAGGTTTCACTTCTCCCTCGAACTGAATCACACAATTTTATTTATTTAATAATCATGTCCAGTCTATTGTGAAATATTATTTTGGAAAGTAAAGAGTACCCCTAGTAGTTTTTAGAGACTGGAATTCGACCACTACTTTACTTTTGGCTAAAATCTAGAGACTGGAGATTAAAATTTAAACCCAAAACTTAATTAAAATTACAACACTTCCATAGAAAAGTACCACATTTTCATTTTTGTTTGATCCTAGAAAAAAGGTCTCTTGTTTTGAAGGGGAAAAAATTGTATAGTTCACATAATAATTATCTCTACACAAAATTTAATTACAGAATTTCACATTTATATTGGTCATGTGTACATCAATTGTCCCGTTCTGAGGCTATGTGGGTCAAGTCACGATCAAATATTGTGGGTGCTTGTGTGTGCTGAATGTACTATAAGGTTAGGGTATGCATTTCTTTTAACACCAATTGATTTTAGAAGAGTTGTAGCGGCAGAGGTCCTACAAGTGGTATCAAAGTTAAGGTCACAAGTTTGATTCCCAATGAGAGCAATTGCTAAGGGAGAGATTGTTGGCCACGTGTACATCAATTGTCCCATGGCAGAGGCTATGTGGGTCAAGTCACCATCGAATGTCACGGGCGCTTACACATCAAACATCAGACAATATTTACAATCAAGGAAAATAGAAAATTGGATTATTGAGAGTGTGGAAACTTAACTGAAATTAAAAATAGAAAAAAGATAACATATAATAATTCTCTCTAAACATGACTTAAGAATTCAGAACCATTTAGAGATCTAGAATTAGAGTCCATGGTTAGACCAAGGGCCTTTGTAGTTTTTGATAGTTCATGATGATTTATGATGATGTGTAGTATTTTCTAACATTAACCAGTAATTTGTGCATGCCTGCTTTCTGTGATTTGTGCTCTTGTTTATTTCATTCTAATGTGATTTCTTTGTATGTACTGTTGTGCTTGAAAAGGGTGTCCCTTGCTAACAATCTTTCTATTATCAAGTAGGAAAGTCTATGTGCACATACTTCTCAGTCATTATTTTATGATATTTTGTTGGATTTATTTTTATTAAAAGTTAAAATGATCCTAAAAATATTTTTGCCAAATTTGATTTTTCATGATTAATACGTTGTACTCCGTAATGCAATATTTTGACGATTATAAAGGGTATTTATATATTCAAAAAATTGTATTAAAAACATATAAACTCCTACAAAATTATAATCTCTTGAACAGCTACACATCTTGCACACCCTCCAGCATTCTTTTCTTGCACCACCAATCTACCAGTACAATAAAGATATAAAAAAGACACAGAGACCCTGAGATCCACACCCCCCCCCCCCACCCCCCACCCCAAATTGGTACCTTTCTTTAGAAGTCAGTCACCACTCAGATAAGAATCTGATTGCTTGTGAAATGAGTTTAAATCAGACCTCTTTACTATGAAAGGAAGTTGGTAGTAGAAGCCTCATTTGTAGATACCAAAAATAGTCTCAAACAAACCTTAATCCAGATTCACAGTCTTCATTGTGGAAATAAACAGAAAGCATGCNCCCCCCCCCCCCACCCCCCACCCCAAATTGGTACCTTTCTTTAGAAGTCAGTCACCACTCAGATAAGAATCTGATTGCTTGTGAAATGAGTTTAAATCAGACCTCTTTACTATGAAAGGAAGTTGGTAGTAGAAGCCTCATTTGTAGATACCAAAAATAGTCTCAAACAAACCTTAATCCAGATTCACAGTCTTCATTGTGGAAATAAACAGAAAGCATGCATTTAAAAAAACAGCAAGCCAATCCTGACCTCCAAGAAGACGAGTTTGAGCTGAAGGACACGAATCCCCAGCTTGGAGGAAGAGGGTGGATGAACAGAGAAAGATATGCCACCAGCAGATATGATCTTGTGGAGCAGATGTTTTACCTCTATGTCAGAATTGTCAAAGCCAAGATTCTTGCCACCACAACTATCACTTGCCCCGAGCCTTGTTGTGTGGAAGTGAAGCTGCTGAACTATGTAGGAAAGACAAGGTACGCCGAGGATCAAGAATGGAATCAGGTGCTTGCTTTCTCTAGAGATGCCATCAAATCGTCAATTCTTGAAGTTTTTGTCAAGGGGAGAAAAGAAGACTATCTAGGAAAAATGGTGTTTGACTTGAACGAAATCCCAACAAGAATCCCACCAGACAGTCCTCTGGCTCCTCAATGGTACAATCTAAATGACCTCTATGGCAAACCCAATGGAAGCATCATCATGCTTGCTGTTTGGATGGGGACACAAGCCGACGAAGTGTTTTCAGAAGCATGGCATTCAGACGCTGCGTTTGTTAGTGGGGAAGGAGTGGTTAATGTGAGGTCCAAAGTTTATGTCTCCCCAAAACTTTGGTACTTAAGAGTAAATATAATTGAAGTCCAGGACATCATTGGCAATGGCAGAGACCGTGACCATCAGCTTCGTGTCAAAGGGCAAGTGAGAAACCAGGTACAAAGAACTACCATTTCGCGTGCTGGTCAAAATCCACAAATGTGGAAGGAAGACCTGGTGTTTGTAGCAGCAGAGCCATTTGAGGAGGAGCTAGTGATTACTATTGAATACCAGAACGAGGAGCTTGGAACAATAGCTCTTCCTCTGTCCACATTTGAAAGGAGGATAGACCACCGCCCTGTCCAATCTCATTGGTTCAATCTCATGAAGCTTGGCTGTGAATCCTCGGAGCCCTGCAGGAAAAAAGAGGCAGCATTTTCAGGAAAAGTGCACCTAAAAATCTGCCTTGAAGGCGGGTACCATGTATTAGACGAATCAGGAATGTACATGAGTGATCAGAGGCCAGCTGCTCGACAGCTCTGGAATCCACCAGTTGGGATATTGGAAGTTGGGATATTAGGGGCACACAAGCTTTTTCCAATGAAGACGAAGGTATTAGAAATACTCCCTCTCTCCCATTTTAATCTTCCCTACAGTGCCAAACTATATCTTCTTTAATTATCTACTTGAATCATTAGAATATTTCCTCTTAATACTCATTCATTAATTCATACAATAACATCTGCTCCACTTACAATGTTTACAAAAAGGATGGACGGGGGCGCACAGATGCATATTGTGTAGCCCGGTATGGTCAGAAATGGGTAAGAACCAGGACAATTCTTGACACATTTGACCCCATATGGAACGAGCAGTACACATGGGAAGTCTATGATCCTTGCACAGTCATAACACTAGGAGTGTTTGACAACCACCATTTGGGCGGAAGTGGGAAGACCGCAGCAGCCCTACGTGACCTTGAGATTGGGAAGGTGAGAATTAGGTTGTCAGCTCTGGAATCCCACAGAATCTACAGTCATTCTTACCCACTCGTAGTTCTTCAACCTACTGGGGTGAAGAAAATGGGAGAAGTCCACTTGGCAGTGCGGTTCAGAAGCCTCTCTTTGGCCAACATGGTCTCCGTATACGGACACCCTTTGCTGCCCAAAATGCATTACCTCCATCCCTTAACGGTCAACCAACAAGAGATCTTGAGGTGCCATGCTATGAGCATCGTGGCATCAAGGCTAGGCAGAGCCGAACCTCCACTCAGAAAAGAAGTGGTTGAGTGCATGTTGGACTTCAGGTCCAACTTGTGGAGCATGAGAAGAAGCAAGACTACCTTTTTAAGGATCACGTCCCTCGTCTCGGGCATACTGTCCTTAAACAAATGGTTTCGCGACGTATGCCACTGGAAGAACACAGTCACCACGACTCTGGTTCACATCCTGCTCCTAATATTGGTTTGGTGCCCAGAGCTAATACTTCCCACATTTTTCATCTACATGTTCTTTATAGGACTGTGGAACTACAGGTCCCGGCCGAGACACCCTCCACATATGGACACTAGACTTTCATGTCCAGAAACAATGAGTCCGGATGAGCTTGAAGAGGAGTTTGACACAGTCCCCACGACAAGCGAGCAAGAAAAAGTCCGGGTTAGGTATGATAGGATGAGGCATTTGGGATGTAGGATTCAGGGGATGGTGGGAGATATGGCGACACACGGTGAGAGGATACAGTCGGTTTTGAGTTGGAGAGATCCAAGAGCAACCAGTATGTTCATTGTGTTCTGTCTTCTTGCTGCCGTTGTGCTTTATGCAACTCCTTTCAAAGCAGTGGCTTTGGTTTATGGACTCTACATCCTCAGACATCCCCGGTTTCGCAGTAACTTGCCCGGTGTAGCAAGTAACTTCTTCGAGCGCTTGCCAGCTCGCACAGATTGCCTCATGTAATAATAAATTAATAACAATACTCACACATCAAGAATCATATGATCATCTTCCAGCGGAAGTATTTACCAATACCCACACATCAATGATATGCGTGCATGATAAATAAACCTGTTCTTATCACTTTGAAATTACCATACCCTCTGGTTGATTTTTCAGTAACAGAGTTTAAATTAACAAGAAATTGTAAAGGGAATCAAAATTCACACAAAAAATTGAATCATTTACATATAATGTAACAATGGTGGAGACATGAGATGAGATCATGCGTTGCTTTAAACTCCACCTACGCCACAGAGTAAAAACAAGGTCGCTTCAAATTCTAGTCCTACACAGTCCCAATGAAGCAGCCCTCACAAGAATATCTGGCGACGAGTAATCCTTCAATTTAGCATTTGAAAGATTAATTAAACAAATGATGATAGTTGTTTTGGCTTTGTTTTAATCGGTTTGATTTCAGCCAAAAGCTAGTAGCTAGGAGCCTTGTGAGAGGACAACCAAATCTAAGGTCTAGTTTCGTACGTGGAATTCAAGGAATTTGAATTGGAGACTTCAATTCTAATTCTGGTGTTTGGTTGTACAAAAATTATGTAGATTTGGAATTGATAGTGTAAAACATGAATTGAAATTGACAGAATTCAATTCTATGGAATTGAATCCCATGAAATTTCAATTCCAATTCAATTTCAATTCCACCAATTCCTTGTACCAAACGGACCCTAAAAAAATCCAATTTGTCTAAGAGCACTGGTAATGGTCATGAAGCCCCAAGGCTTCAAACCGGGGCTTCAAACTTGCTCTCTCTGCCACGTCAGCTTTAACTTACACCCAAAATTCACTGGAAATGGTTTTGAAGCCCCGGGGCTTCAAACCTTCATTTTTTACATTTTTAAATTAATAAATTTAAATTAATTTATTATTTTAATTAATCGCAGTGACACTAGTGCATAAAAAAAATTAAATTCATTATAAAAAAATCTTACATTCATAAAAAAAAAATCAAAAAAAAATTACATTCATTAAAAAAAATTACATAAAAAAACAACAATAGAAAGAAATCACTAATTATTCGAACGACTAAAGATATGCTCGATCAAATCCGCCGTTAGTGCATTGTGAATCTCTCGGCTTCGAATTTCTTGGCAGTTGCGTCGTTTCTTTTTTTTCGGTGATTTCTTCGTACATAAGCACCTCCTCGTCCAGGTTATATTAACAAATCGCAGACGTTGGCGTCGAGTCCGTTGTCGGGAGGATTCGGCTTCTTCTTGGCCATCTTCCCACCATTGAATACAATTCGTCGCGAAACAACGAAAAAATAAAGCTTTTCTTTCATCGTCGGAAGATGAACCCATTTTTAAAATATATTTTTTAAAGATTTTTAATAAATAATAAATATTTTAGAGAGAATATGAAATGAGATGTGAGAGAAAGATGTGTGAGAGAATGATATTTTTAGGGGAATTTATAGGTTTTTTTTTAAATTTTGATTTTTTTTAATTGGGGGAAGCCGTTGGGAGGATCACACGGCGTCATTCTTTTGACGCACGCCGGATCACGCCTAAATAACGACGGAGGGGGATGGTGTTTCACGCCCCCAGGGCGTTAAACGCCCGTTCACGCCGGCGGGCGTGAATCCCATTTCCAGTGCTCTAAGGCGCAGTCCGTGATGATCTGTGATACTATTGGGGTTAAATATTACAGCGGGAAAAAAATAAAAATAAAATAATCCGAACTTATTAAACGTTCGGATTTTACAACGGAAATAAAACTAAGAAAATTGGAGTCTTCGGAAGCTCAAACGGATTGAAACGGAAGTAGGAACACGAACGGACAGGTGCCTCGATCGGCGAGCAGAGACGTCGAACGGAGGGTAGGGTGTCGCCGGAGTAGTGTCACGAAGTAGAGGTTAGGAAAGCGGTAGAACCGTGCACCGACGAACAAGAACGACGAGAGATATTTGTTGAAAAACTAATGGGATATTGAGAACGGAAGAGTGTTGGACGCACAGGTTTTTCTTGTACTTCTTCACTGGACCAAGGTCTCCTTAAATAGGAGATGTCTTGGCACATTGGACGAATTGGGACAGCTTGGCGGAGCAATCGCAAAAAGTGGCCACGCCCTGCCGCAGACACGGGCGCGCCTCGCCGCCCCGCCCCGCTGCAACGCGCATGCCGAGCCGGGCGGCGGTGGCGGCGCGCGAGAAGTCCTTTTCTTGTTCCTTTCATAAGCTCAATTAAATGCTTAAGTTTAAATATGAGAATACGAAAGGTTCAAACACCGGTGTGGGACAAAGATTTTACTCTTTCCTCATATTCAACTGTGAGAATTAATTTCTCATTCACCCAAACACCATTTATGGCGTGTAATATGTCGAAACATTTATCTTACTTACGAGATTAAACGTCCATAATTATTTCGGAAATTAATAATTTTGTGGACCCTACCGAATTTATGTCCAAAAATATCCAATTTATCTAAAAAAATTCCAACAACCGGAACATACCACAGACCGCTCTTATTTAAATGATTCGGTATCGATATGAGATAAATTCCATAACCATTCGGTACTTTTCCGTTTTGAAACAGAACGATACAATAGCATACTCATGTTCAAATCGTGTCAAAAAATGAACATGCATTATTCAAAGAATATTAAAATAAAAGTATAATTTTGTATTAAAAAAGCACAAATTTGTTAACTAAAAGTATTGATTTCGAATTTTAAAGGATTATAAATATAAAAAATAAAAGATATTGAGTCCAAATTAAAAAAATCAATTTATATAACATCGAACGATTAATAACTCTAAAAAACAATGTTAATAGTAATAAATTTGAAAACAACGATAATAATGAAAGAATTGAAAAAATGAATAATAAAATATGAAGTACTCTACATACGGAAAGATGAAGTAGATGAATACTCCGTATTTATTTGAGATATTTCGTATGTAGGTTTGAACGATTCGATCTGTGATTATCAGTTTTAAATATTTGTACCACGGTCCCGTCCCGTTTGATATCGATTCAGTTTCGGTTCGTGATGAAAAAAACCAATCTTGTTTGAAAACACTATAAATGGTTTGATATCATTACGGTCCAGTATGATCTCATGCTAATTTGTTTTTTTGCCCATCTCTAATAATGTCAAAATTCGGGCAAAAATTGGCACCCATACCGTTGTTGGGTTTAAACAAGTAACCCCTCATAAAAAATGCTAGCAACTCATACAACTCCAACCCCTTGTGATTATCGTCTTGTATAAATTCTTTGTGAAGATTTTGATTAAATGAGAATGATGCTCCATGAAAGAAATGAAAATGAAGAAATGAAATTGCATATAATTTATTGGATTTGAGATCTAAAGACTGCTAAAAAGTAAACAATGGAAGGAAAATTTTAAAAAAACACAGTGGCATAATTGTAAATAAGTCAAAACTCTCAGCCTTTGCAAAAATGAATTACCTTCTCCAGAAAATGCATCACGTTGAACCAAAAATGAATTATTCACATTTCTCACGTTAAAAGCCATTCTCACCGAAATAAGTCCATGTCTGTGAAAACATTTATACTTATGATAGATTACTTTGATCCAACTTATCATTTGAAAGGGCACTCTTATACAAAGTAAATCTCATTTATGATGCTAAAGACCTTCTAATCCAGCGCCATGATGGTGATTTTCTCATATGAGAAGTCACATGTTCGATTCTACGTGAGGGTAATAATTCTACGTGCTAAATGAATTAAGAATGTATAAACACGCACCATATTTTGAAAGGGCAATGACAAATCCAAACCTCATTTTGCTAAATCCATTACATTGAATCTTAACATTTTAAATATAAAGTGGGATAGATATAACAAAATAAGGGGCAAGTTCAACAATAACCTATTTCACATGCAATAACAACATAGTCATGGAGTATCCTTATAATATATTACTCTCCTGTCCTGTAAAAAGGCTCTACCTTTAAACTAACACTGATATTAAGACAAGTGAAACTGTATGATTAAAAATGATGTAATTGAGGGAGAAATTATAATGGTCACAAATTCTTTTTTCCTAAAAAAGAAAATTAAAACTTATTTTAATAGAAAACAAAGAAAATGTAGAACTTTTTTAGAGGATGGATAAAATAATATAAGTGAAATTTGTACTAAACAACACTAAAATATATGTCTTTTCCTAATGTATCACTTAAACATTTTAATTTTCTAAATAGTACTTAAACGATGTCGAGTGGCAGGAACAATGTCCTGTAATGGTGGGCATTTAGTTTGAACAATATCCAATGGCGATGGACATTTACTAGAACAATGACCAGTGCACATTGAACAATGGTAGTACATTGAGAAATAAAAACATATAATACTACATTAGGTAAATTTTTCATGATATAATATCACAAAGTAATACAAATATGATATTGCTACATTTGACTCATTTAAAGCCAATACATTTTACCTTCTAGTTTTCTCCCTAAGATACTATAAATCCATTTCACGGTGAAAATGCTTTCTTAGTGACTTAAGCCTACACCATTTTTTCGAATCTTCTCACAAAAGAAGAAGCTCACTACCACTTTAGAAGTCAAAATATATGATGAAAACGAATGTACCTTTCTCCTGGTATATCATGACTAATTTATAATTAAGTAATGTTTCAGAATGAATATTAATTTTTTTAGAATCAACATTACGTTATTTCATAATGAATATGTTCAGAATGGACATTACATTTTTTTAGAATGAACATTATGGTGAGTAGGCGTCAGAATGAACACTACGTTAAAAATGAAGATTCTATCTCTTGTTGAACTAGAATGAACATTCTATCTATTTGAAATGAAAAATGCTAGGGGTAAGGTGTACCCCAAATGTACACCACCCCCTCCAATGCCACATACTCCCTCCGTCCCTCTGTATTTGTCTACTTTCATTTTTACACACCATCCAATGCACTTCTTTAATCCATTTTATCTTGTATATTAAAAAATTATAAAAATTCTATATTAATATTTTATATGTTAAGACAAATCAAACAAGATCACACATGACTATATTTAGGCTTACACATTGAGAGAATTTGATGAGTCAAAATGTTTAGATGAACAGTTCCAAAAATCAAATGTGAATAAATATAGGGGGACGAAGAAAGTATATTAGAAAATAAAATAAACAAAAAATAAATACGAGTAAATAAAAATGAATGATAGAAAAATGAGTGGATATATTTGGGATATTGGTGGGGTGTACCAATCTCGGTCCAAAATGTGGAATCGCCCACCCTAGGCGCCCCCACCTCCTTGCCTGACAGGAATGGTGGAGGATGTAAGTCATGGTGACTTAGTCGGCCAAGAACGCTAGACCCGTGCCCACCGCGCACAAGGAGCCTCCTCACCCTTTATGGGATTTTTGGATAGCTCCCACACTGCCGCTTGCGAGATTCGATCCCTGGTCATCGGTCTAAGATTTCAAGCTCTTGACCAACTGAGGTACCCATGCGGGCTTGGGTGTACCAATCTCTACTTCATTTGTGGGGTGTACCAATCTCTACATCATTTGTCCAAAAATCCATCTAAAATCACTCACCTGCAAATATATCCAGAGCTCCACCAATAATGGCGACAATCTCGACATCTTTTGTATCCCCTAATTTCATTCCGAATCACAAAAAGCACTTCAAGGCTCATTTCTCGAGAATCCGCTCTCCAACTCTGAAATCTGACGCCGTTCCTCTCGCGCTCATCACGCCGCCGCCAGTCCCGCAGCACGGACATGTTTTACTGCTTAGAGGGCGTGTCAATTCCGTCGCCGGAGAAACTTCAGCTCCGGCGCAGGACACAACTTCCGAGGCCGCCAGGCGGCTCTACGTTGGCAACATTCCCCGGAAATTTGTGGAAGAACATGGCGCTGTAGAGAAGGCCGAGGTATATTCTGCCGAATTGATTTGGATTTTATGACTAAATTTGTGGTTAGCTCAGTGTAAATGCACTCAGTAGGTTTATATGAACCGGATATTCAAATTTCAGCGTAATCCTGTGCAAATTAGGCGGATTTTTTGAAATTTATTTTCATATTTCTCTCATTATTGAACATTTGAGCAGTTAAATCCCAACCCCTGTTCAATAATTGGGTACTGAACGAAGTTTCATACTGTAGCTTATGTACCTGTAGACAATAAAGAAATGCAATTTGCACATAAGCAAAATAAGGTATAGGCTATAGAGACTAAATTAATCTTAATGACGTCATTGTGCCCTATCATGTACTATATCTGCTCTGAGATCATTTACTCGAAGGTCTCCCTTGATCATTGCTTGCCAAGTCCTCCTAGGTCTGCCTTTTTCTCTAGCCACATTCACCATTTTGCTGACATATATGTTATAAAAAACTTTTCCTTAAGAAAATTTTGTGAATTCAGCCAAAACCCATTGTCAAAAGTTGCGGTTAGGCTACAAATTCATCAGCTTTGTTGGTAGGTTATGTATGATAAGTATTCGGGAAGGAGCCGCCGGTTTGGATTTGTTACAATGAAGACAACAGAGGATGCAAATGCCGCCATTGAGAAGCTCGATGGAACTGTAAGGATTATGTGTCTTTACAATTACATTGTTCTTAATTGGATCCCAATGTGTTCATATGTTCTCATTCTACTCTCTTATGATAAATAGGAACTCAGCGGGCGCAAAATAAAAGTTAATATAACCGAAAGCCCACTGCAAAGTGTAGATCCGTCACTTCTACAAGCAGAGGATTCACAATTCATTGATAGTCCACACAAAGTATATGTTGGCAATCTTGCAAAGACAGTAACTACCGAGACACTGAAGAAGTTTTTCAAGGGGGCGGTTGTAAGTGCTAAGGTGTGTCGAGTTCCAGGGACTTCGAAATCCAGCGGGTTTGGGTTCGTCACTTTTTCTTCAAAAGAGGATGTGGAATCTGCTATCTCATCATTCAATAACACGGTAAGCGTCCCATAATCATACATCATGACAAAAATACACATATTAATGAAAACAAAAAACAAAACTTAAGATAATCCAAACTCTACGTGTCTGGGGACTAGGATTCAAGATGTACACAAGCTCACTCTTTTAAAAAACGGGGAGATTGTTTCCATTACACCTTTGGTGCATTCTTCATTTACCACTCAAAACTTTGTAGAAAGCTAGAAGAAAATGATCTTTAATGTCCCATTTGGACTTAGTCCGTTATTTTTCTAAAGCTAAAACAACAACAAAATCCCACAAAGAGTATATGAGCAGGGTGTGTATATCAGTATATGCATACCTTACCCATACCCGTAACTAGAGAGGTTGTTTCCAAGAGGCCCCTGGGCTCTAACACAAACACACAAACATAGTAGCACGGACAAAGTAAGAGCACGAAGACATAAAGACATAGGTCGAGACTAGCTAGTAGACCCAAAACACAAAAAGCACTCAACCACAAGCTATAGACTAGTAGTCTATAACAAGGCTAGGTGAGAGGTTCTAGGCTGGTTGGCTAAGTCATACTCCGTATAGTATTTAAGCAATTAGCACTATTTAATTATTTGTTGAGTCTTATCATTTATCATATTTATCATTTAATAATTATTTAATCCCACCTAATGGAAAGTTAAGGGTCAGTTATTCCCACTTAGTTAGTGGGAGGTTTGGAGTAAGTTATTCCCACTTAGTTAGTGTGAGGTTATGTGTAAGTTATTACTAGTAGAAGTTAGAGTCTCTTTCTATAAATATACCTCTAGTTATTTGTGTTAATTATCGAAGATTACACACTAATTTAACATTGGAGATTCTCGTTGGTTTTATTTATTATATGAGTTTAAGATTCTTACTCATATTTTGATAAAGATTTTCCTTCATCTTTAGTATCTATGAAGTTAGATCCTGATTTCATAATTTGATAAAGACTTTCATCCATTTATTCTCCTTGCCTCTCTGGAGTTCTATCACTAGGGCAATCGCGCACCAGCATAAATTACAAACTAATGCCCGGAGGTCTACCCAACTACTGTAATCCTAAATCTATAGACATTTCTATGTAAGGTGTTCGATTCCTCGGTAAGACCGTGAAAATGGAAGTCATGTTTAATCACCTCCCAATGATTACTCTTTTAGTTTAGTCGGAAATGGACACCAGATAAGTAAAAGTTACCAATTCTTCCACCTGCCCATGCGTAAGAGAGTTTACATGAACCCTCATATGTTAATTTCAAGATTCCATTGTTTTGTACTGTGGTTTTTGTTGAGTATAGTTATTATGGTGATTCATGATTTCTTTTCAGTTTCCTCACATAAGTTGGAATTGTAAAAATGCAGTTGCTTGAAGGGCAGAAGGTTCGCGTGAACAGAGCATGATATACAACTCCGCATGGGCGAGAGTGGCATCAAAAGTAAGTTGTTGTGCTTTAAACTTACTGCAGGAGAATATTTTGAGCTGATTTTCTTCTATTGCAATATATCATGAGTCATGACAGTTTAAGTTTGTTTTGGATGTTAGGAGGTTAAGTCATGACAATTTAAGGTTGTTGTGGATGTTAGGAGCTTACTTAAGTATGGCCATTTGGTATTGTGTTCTTGTGATTTTTAGGTTAGCAAATTGAGTATATCCACCCTCCTTATCCACCCAAATACCAAACCAACCATTTTGTTTAATTCAGATTTTTGCTGTGTTTATTCGGTTTGGTATTTTTTCTTTTAGGACCAAGTTCATACTTGCTCACCTTAAGGGAAATTATATTTAATTCAATTTATTTAAAGATATTTGTAGAATTTAAAAATTAAATTTATATATTTAAAAAGTACGTAGTACATTAAATGTTTCAGGAAACAAGAGACAATTTGAGTATCTTATCAAGTTATCAATAAAAGTATATTATCTAAAAATGATACTCTCCTCGTGCAAAAAACTTTTCCACTATTAATTTTCATACGTCCCAACAAATATTTTGACCTTCACTTAAAACTTCTTACTCCGTATTTATCCCTACTAAGGCTTTGTTTTTTTTATTATTTGAGTTGTAAAAATAAAGCTAAATATTGGAAAAAATAGGAACGAGTTACAAAAAATTGGAAGGAGGTAGAAGAAACCGGAAACAATTGAAAGAAACTTGAATGACTTGGAGAAACGGGAAGGAATTGCAAGAAACTCGATGGTGTTAGAAAAATAGGATGGAGTTGAAAAACTAGTGCTTGGATAAAACTTGAAGTACTTGGAAGAAACTGGAAGAAGTTAGAAAATTTTTTTTAAGGAGCTGAAAGAAGCTGGAAAGAGTTTTAAAAAAATGAAAAACGTAAAAAATCATTACACGTAGTATTTTAAATGAATGTTAACAATTAAAGTATCGGCTAAAATCCACCATTAGTCCTTCAACTTTATCAGTTGTGCACGATTGGTCCTTCAAGTTTCAAAAGTCCATAAATAGTCCTTCAACTTTATGAGTTCTGCACCATTGGTCCTTCAAGTTTTAAAAGTCCATAAGTAGTCCTTCAGGTACACGTCAGCCCTCCATATGAAGTCCTTTTGACCGTAAATATTAAAAGTTAAACGAAATACTAGTTTCATATAATACGAGTAAATTCCACTAGGTACGACTACTCTGTATTATATGAAGCTAGTATTCCATTTAGCTTTTAATATTTACTGTTAAAAGGACCTCATCTGGAGGGCTGACATGTACTTGAAGGACTATTTATGCACTTTTAAAACTTGAAGGAACAATCGTGCATAACTCATAAAGTTGAATGACTATTTATGAACTTTTAAAACTTGAAGGACCAATCGTGCACAATTGATAAAGTTGAAGGACCAATGGTGGAGTTTAGCCTTAAAGTATCACATAAAAACCTTGAAAAGTCAAGTATGAACATTATTTTGGTACAGAGGGAGTATGTTACATATATATAGCACCATCACTTGGTGCTATAGATTTGGCCAATAGTAGGTTATCCCATTACATCTTTCAAGGCATGAGCTGCTATTATAATACTGAAAAGCATAAATACCACCAAAAGTTAATTTTAGAAAGAAGTTAAACTTACAAGACCAATTGCAGGTGTGCTTCGGGGATTTAACGGTTCCCGTGGATGTATTCAACCATTGCTGAACAGTCACTCATGCACCAAACCTGCTAAGCATTGGCTGAGTGTGCCTTGATGATGGCGCTTTTGATGGCATTCTCCTCCCCAAGCACGACATCTGCAACCAAAAAGGCTTCGCAGATATACTCAGGGTTGGGGGGTTGGTGCTGGCAAGAGAAGGAAATAAGATTGCCCTTATCCCCCCTGTGCGTGCAGACATATTAAAAGCATAATCACTTTGGATTACCAACCAGCCCTCCTCGGTTGGTCTAACACGCTTATGATTACCCTTGTTCTCGTCCTTGTCGCGGGTATTTTATTTTCTTTCCAAGGAAGGGGGACCCCCTCATCCACAGCGACGTCTCTCTTCCGCAAAGTATCGAGCAAATATTTTCGATACTTCGCAGGGCATCTTAGGTAGTCCTGCACGAAAGAATCCTAAAGTATCATGTGCAAGGGAGGCCCTTTGTACCTAGAGTATCCTTCCCAGAGGAGCGGCTTGATGACATCTCTAAGGTATCAGGTACATACTTAGAAAAAATCAATAAACTCTTTAGCATCTCCTCCCACCTCTGCTGCTCAATATCCCAGAGTAAGTGTGTGTGTGTGTGTGTATATATATACACACACATACATACATACATACACACACACACACACATACATACACACACACATATCAAATAATTTAATTTTTTTATGACTAGCTTAATTATATGGAGTATTCTGAATTTCAAAGTAGGAGTGACTTTGAGATGTCACCACGCCGCTCCTCTAGGAAAAATACTCTAAGAATGAAGAGCTTCTTTGTTCATGATACCTCAGGACTCCTTTGCGTAGGGCTACCTAAGATGCCCTGCAAAGTACCAAAAACATTTACTCGATACTTTGCGGAAGAGAGACATTGCCGTGGACGAGGGGGTACCTCTTCCTTGGTAGGCAATTAAAATACCCACGACAAGGATGAGAACAAGGATAATCGTGAGCGTGCCTAGACCAATCGAGGAGGGTTGGATGGTAATCCAACGTGATTATGCTTTTAACATGTCTGCACGCACAGGGGGATAGGGGCAATCTTATTTCCTTCTCTTGCCAGCACCAACCCTGAGTATATCTGCGAAGCCTTTTTGATTGTAGATGTCGTGCTTGGGGAGGAGAATGCCATCAAAAGCGCCCTCATCCAGGCACACTCAGCCAATGCTCAGCAGGTTAGGTGCATGAGTGACTGTTCAGCAATGGTTGAATACATCCACGGGAACCGTTAAATCTCTGAAACACACCTGCCATTGTGGATGTTAGGGAGTATGTTTCATATATATATAGCACCATCACTTGGTGCACAACTTAACTTGTTTCCTCTCAATTGTAGTCACTCTTTTAACACCAATACAATCATTGTTCCAGTCACAACTTGTAGTTATTTTATTGTATAAAATACACTGTGAAAAAAATACAATGTGTTATTTTTGTTGGTCGAGATAAGGTTATTTATGATAATTTTTCATTTCAATTAAGATAATAAGTGATATTTCTCTCTTTATCCACTATTTTTGGAACATTGATTAGTGACATGCAAATTAAGAAGAAAAAATTTGTACTCTCTCCATTTCACAGAATAGCTCTGTCCTAATTTTTTTGGACATCCTACAAAACACTTTTACCTCCGCCTAAAATACTCATGTTTCCTTTATAGCAGGTCAAGGTTCTTTTGAGGGTGTTTTAGACATTTTATGTGAGATAGAAGCGTCTTGTGGGATCATAAAAGGTTAGGGCGGAACTATTTTGTAAAATAGATGGAGTATTTATTGATATTGATATTAGAAAATGTAAGAAAAAAATTATGAGTGTAAGTCACAAAAGTGGTGTCACAATAGGAATGAATAAAAAAGACAAAGAATTTAAATAAATGAAATATAGTGTTATTAACTCGATTACAATGTCATGTATGTTTATATTTTTTCAATGTTCTTATTAATTATTTTAATAAGAATATGAAGTTTCAAAAATATATATTAACTATTTCTTGTTTCTTATAATTCATTCAATCTTCTTCCAACATCCAAATATTTTTCAACCAACTTTGATTTGTAACCGACTTTGACTTGTAAAGTAATAAAAATAAAATGAAATATTTAAGTAGAGTGTCTAATAAAAGTTAAAATAACAAGGCAACATGAAAAAATGTTACAACATTCGTCAAAAGTCGAAGGGAAAAATTATTTCAAATCATATCAACTTTCCGCGCTCTTTCAAAAGTAATATCACTTTTCGTTGTCATTGAAAATAATTCCACTTTTTCGTATGTGTGCAAGTTTTGGGTCACCGTTAAAAAGCTAACGGCCTCTTAATGGAATTTTTTGGAAAATGCATGTTTTTTCACAAATAAATGTAAGGTGAGATTATTTAAGGTAAATTTTCTTTTTATCGTTTAGTTAATTTTTAACTTCAAATTTAAATGTATTTTTTAACAATATATTTATAAATAATACCAAATTTAAGTGTTTTTTAGAGTGAAACTAATTATATTTTTTCAATAATCAATAATCTGGTAATAATTATTGCACAATAAATTATTCTACACAATAGAGCTAATTCATTTACTTTATAATTTACTATATTTTTTTAAGTTGCAATTATTTTTCGAATTGTTTTTTATATTATGTTATTATTTTTTTTAAATGTTACTACAAAACTTGTGAATATTTTTCGATAATTCTATATAAATATTTTTTGTAAAACAACATTACAAAATTGTGAAATGACACAATTATTTTTTCTCTGAATTGTAACTTTTATTTTCACTACAATTTTTGTTGTATTTCATTTTTTTCATGAACGACACTCTGAAATATTTATTGGTAATCGTCTATTACCTGTATTATTTTTTCTAAAATAGAACTGCCTAACTTGTGACATTTTTCGATAACTCAGCACAAAGTTTTTCCTAAAATAATAATTCAAAAGTTGTAAAAATTGCACAATATTTTTTCACCAAAATGGCAGTAATTATTTTTATAACTCACTACAAATTTTTGTGTATTGCAATTTCTTTTGAGCAATACTGTGAATTATTTTTTGATAATCCAAAACAGAAAACAAAATTTGTAAATTATTATATTTTTAAAAAAAACTGAGACAGATCTCTTACAAAAGTGTACCGTTATATTTTTAAGAGCATAAACTTTAATTTAAAATTAAAAAAGAAAAAGTATTTTGCTTAAAATAATTTCACCTTTTATTTATTTGCGAAAACATGCTTTTTCTTAAAATCCCATTAAGGGACCATTATCTTTTTAACGACGACCTACAACTCACACACATGCAAAAAAAGTAGATTTTCTTGGTGATAATGAAAAGTGGAATTATTTTTTAAAAAAACGTGAAAAGGTAGAATTATTTAAGGTAGTGTTTGGAAACTAGCATTTCATTTCAATTCATGCATTTCAATTCCAAAATTTAAAATCTTAAAATTCAAATGACAAGAGGAGGAGCATGAATTTCAAATTAAACTTTGTTTTGAATGAGAAGAATTTGACTTAAATCCAAATTCAAATTTTTTAAGTTTTCCAAACATGGGATTTGAGCTAAATCCGGATTTGAAATCCAAATCCATGTTCCCAAACATACTATAAGACAATTTTTCCAAGGGTTTTTCTCCCATGCCTTCTTATTTGAGAGAGCATGGATGCCCTCCCATTTAAATAGTGATATGTTGACAAATAATAAAGAGAGTTAAGTGTATGGAGCATTCCACAAAGTTTAATATGGAGCAACGTTAATTTCAAAATTTGCAAAATGCTCCCTCTAAATCAATGGCATACTATACATTACTCTTATCAATTATTTAATCCACCATTTATTATTTTTTCCTTCTTTAACAAATCACTCAAAGTAAAAGTAAAATATTTATCTCCAAAATACTATCTCTGTCTTGTAGTATTTGTCCAGCTTTGTACAGTAATAAGTATTTTTTTGATATTATATATTGACATCATTGTTAAAACTTCTTATTTAGGAATGAAATATGGAAATCATATTTCGTATGTTTGATATGTTATACTCATAGTTTAGTCTTTATTAATACTTCAAAAATATAATCTGGCCATCTCAATCAAAACTTAATTATATTTATTTACTACCTTCGTCTATAAGTATTTGTATAGTTTTAACTTTTCACAATAAAAATAGATAAACTTTAAACATTAATTAAATAAAATTTGTATCAGATATTTATTCAAGAATAATTTTATTAGATAGATCTATCTTGTAAAATATTTTTTTAGATATTATTTTATCAAACTAATATCCCAAATAAATTTGTATTATCGATTCTTGTTTACTACTCCCTCCGTCCCAAATTATAATGTCTGTTTATTATTCACAGGGTCAAACTTCATTAACTTTCTTTCTCTATTTTCGTTACCAATTTGATAAAATAAAATATTATTGTCACTATTAGTTTTGTAGATCTTCTGATGTAGTTTTTTAATATATAATTTTTATTTTTTAATTCTATACCATTTGTCATATAAAATGGTTTGAACATAATTTCAGTCAAACATCGTAAACCGAAACAGACGTTATAAAATGGGACGGAGGTAGTAGAAAAAATCAAAGTTGGATAAATACTCAAGGACGAAGGTAGTGATTATCAATTGATAGACCAAATTTTGGAACTTTACAAAATTCAAAGGGTTTTTGACGAAATTGATTATAATTCAAAATTTAAAATTAATTATTTTTAATTTAAAATTTTTGGTAGTAGAAACTGCCAAAATTAAAATACTAATGAAATATTCTTCATTGGAATTTTTTGACAAAACTCTACAAAATATACAATCTTACATCGAAACTCTGCTAAATGTTTTAGACAAAATTAATTTTTCATAATGTTCAAAATGTAATTCAAATACAGCAATATTTTGTATGCGTGTGCATTCATTGTGTTGATCATTTGATAAAATAAAGTAGACATGTCATCACCACTTGCTTTGTAAAACTTTTGATGTAGTTTTTGAATATATATAAGTTATACGGAGTAGTTTTTATTCTTATACGATTAGGTAAATATAATTATTTGGAATATATACAATTTTTCACGTTTGAAATATAATGATAATTTTGGAATGGATAGAGTATAAAAAGCATGATCGGACGCGAAATATAACAATATTGTTTTTTTAAATAAATACATATGGATAATATTAAAATAAGTATGTACAAAAAAGTTTTTTATTTTAATTTTCAATATAACCAAAAACAATTAAAAATTCAATTGAAATTTCATTTAAAATTTTTAAACAAGAAGAGAGGGTTTTGCAAATTTTGGTATAGAGTGATGCGTGCCATTTGGAGTAGAGATGACAATTCAACCCGAACCCGAGCTTAACCGTCCCAACCGACCACTAATATATCCGAACCCGAACCGAGAATAAAATAATCCGAATCCGACCTGAAATTTTTTACCCGAACCTGACATCGGGTCGGGTCGGGTGTGGATTTATTATTTTACCCGACCCAACCCGAACCCGAACCCGACCCGACTCAAACCCGAATATTTTAT